CATATTAGTGATTCGTAGTTTCAAGGAAGGAAGGAAAGAAAGAAGGAAAGAAAGAAGGGAGGGAAGTGTAATTTGTCTTTTTTCTTTAAGAGCTTCAGTTTCACATCACCCCCTTGCAGCTTGCTCCATCTGGATCACCTGCAGGGCCTACACGCAGCTTCGCTCACACAGCTTTAGCCAGCTCAGCTCCCTCAGCGTGATAATCACAATGGAAATCTGGCCGTAAAAATAAAGGGAAATTCACAATTTGGTCTCACAGTGCAAGCAAGAAGGAACCAAGTGTCAGAAAAAAATAAGAAATAACTGAATTATGACAATAATTTCACTGGACATAGTTAAGGACATGTAGCAAAGCTACTATAGCAAAGCTGCTATACAGTATCAAGAATACATCAGGCCCTCTATCTTAATTCAAAGGTTATGTAGGTTTTTCTTTAAATCCTTATAGCTTTTGCATCAAACTTTTGAGTATCTGGATTGAGGTTTTATTACATACTTTACTGAGTTATTACTTGAAGAGCACTGAATGAGCCAGCTTTGTGGTTTCTCTGGAATGCGTCGTGCTTCTAGGAATTCAACCTGGATCGTTGGGCCTGCATATACTGCCCATGATGTGCACGGCCAGACTCTCAGCTCAGGGAATCATGCGTGTTTATAACAATCCGTAAAATATACCTAGTACTTTTTATGGTCTTGAAGGAAGTGGATCTTGACGTTGAACATTAAAAGCGGACGTAAGAAAATAAAACCAGGAAAAAAACAATGGAAAAACAGGAAGGGAAGGAAGAACTATCCCAGTTAAAACTTGGATGCAATAAGCAGGCAAACAATTTGCTTTCTCTCAAACATATTTTTTTCAGATGAGTGTAGGTATATTTATTTCTAAATGCAATGCAAGTAAAAATGACAGCAACAAGCACTCAAAAATAAGAAGTTGCCAGAAGAAACACTCTTTATACAATGTTTTAATATATAACAATATATAACAATATACAAATGATTTTTTTTAGGAAGAACTAAACCATGGATAATTACTCCATGGGATCAAAATGTCATTCTCACGCACTTCTCAAGGGGCATCCGCAGTGTTGGCACCTGGAAGAATCGCAAAGACTACCCCACTACTTGAACTGAAGAAGCTGGCAAAGATAGGGTCTTTTCTGGGAAAATAGCGCCTTTCTAACCATTCGCTGGACAACACAGAAACTCAGAAATTCTGACTTCAATTCTGGGAACACTGATTGACTTCAGTTCTACACAGGTATAAATCTTTATCTTTCCAGATGCCCCTTTTTCTCATTTTCTTCCTATTCCCTTCTATTTTGGCTACTTGCACCTTCAGCTCCTATTGGTCTGGTCTTCCCAACTTCTCAGTTGCTACTTCCATGTTTCTGTATCTCTGAACCATGATAATCATATATTATATCACCCCTGCCTCTATTTCTGCAGTCTCTTACTCTCCAAGGAAATTTTTGAGAGAGTTTCTCTTGCCTTGGCTTCGGGGACTAACGTCAGAGAAGCTGCCAAGTTCCCAGGATGGTTGAGTGCCCCTCTATCCTTGGAGTGTCAAGGGAGCATGTTTATTAACATCAGGTAATACATTCTGCATAGAAATCACAAAGAGCAGAGTCCTTAGCGTGAAAACACAGATGTAAGGGAAATTTTGGTAGCTACTTCCTCAATAAGAAAGGCTTTTCTTGCTATATGCTTGATTTTGAGTCTTTACTTGTACAAATTCTTAGAGCAGTTTTCCTGAATATGGATCCTGTGCCCACACCATGAGTACAGCATCTCCTCAAAACTCAGTTGCTGCACAGCTACTAACTAGCTTGCACCATATAAGAACATTTTCCATTTCCTTTAATCATGTTGACTGCCCTCAGCTCTATGACAAGCGGTTGCTCTGTCTCTGCAGCGCTGTCTGAAAAGCCCTTCACACACTGCGTAAGGCAGTGCAGGAGAAGGGCAGCATCATGCTCCTCAGCCTGCACACAGCAGTTCATCCATCAGTTACGTGGACTCGTTTTAAGAGAAAAGAGGCTCTGTAATAAGTGTCATGGTTGATTTTGAAACAAAAGATCAGTGACAGGTTGAATCTCTTTCCAAAATGCAGAGCCATCTCACTGGGCAGCAATATTTAATTTTCCCTATCTTCCTTTGGTATTTGGAGCCACTGCTGTTAGTGGTAGATGCTTCCCATTCCACGTTGTTTTTTATTTTACTTTAGGTGAATGTTAAATTCTATCAGTTGCCTCATCCTGGCCTTAGCTGTGCTCCATAGCTCCATAGGGCAAAGGAGGTCTTCGCGTGAAAAAAATCCGTTTTGGAATATAATCAGTCATTTCCTTGGCTTAGTTTCCTTCCTCTGCTTGTCTCCAGTTGTGTCAACCCCAAACATTCCCAGCTATGAACAACACGTCTTAAGGAATGCCTCCATTTGGAACATTATCTCTGTTTTCTGAGTCCGAAACAAATATTCCACTCCCATCTTCAAGCTTTATTTCACAACAGTGAAAATGTGAGCTGAAATTCTTGCATAATCACTTGCTCCAAGGAGCTGTAAGAACGCTGTAAGAATTATGAAACTTGTGATAAAACCGTAAGAGCTGACGATGTGGCGCCCGAGGGGATGCATAGATCTGCCGGCCGTTTTGATCACAGACTTGCCTCACACCCGCACGATGCAAACGTATGGCCTTGAGTTCTGATTCTCATCGGGTCTCTGGATTGCTCCAAAGCTCAGCAAGGAAGGCAAAAAGCACGACACGATGTTATGTGTCAGAAATGCCCCTGCAGTGCTTCTGGTTTGGGTGTGTGCTGGTGCGTGCCCTACGTTTCTGCACTGCTGTCACCTGGCCGACACTGGGCACCTCATGCCATAAGGGATATTGCAATTGAAGGCAGGCTCTAGCTAGCCATGGATTGGGATCAATCAGTGGTGCAAATATTTTATAACAGTTAAAAAAAAAAAAAAAAAAGAACTGGAAATACCCCAAGTGTTGCCCCCTTCTGTCGAAGACAGAGATCCCGAGGAGCAGAACGACGCCAGATCTGGCCTGAGGTCACTCTGCATGCAGGGGTGGCCGGACAAAGAAGCACGAACAGGGACACTCAGTCCATTTAACAGAAACGCAGAAATGTAGAAAGCAGCAAGTCTTTCCAGAACTCTGGAAAACAACTAACACTTCCAGGCCTTGGCGGTGCGTCAGGGCAGTGACAGGTGATTCGGCCCGTTTATTCGATGGCCGCCGCTGACCG